GGGTGAGGAGGGGCATAGGGGTCATAATGTCTGTTTCAGGTTATTGCTGTAATGCAGAGCATTCCTGTAAGCACTCTACAAATGGAGAGACCACAACTGTGGTAATCAGCAAGTTAATAAATGTGTGATTTATTTTTAAACAAAGGACTGGACAATGACTGAGCAGCAATAAAAATATAAGACAAACCTTGCTTGTTTAAGTAGCAAATTAGCTCCCAGCATCAAGGTTGAAAAACAGCATAATAATAACTCTGATACTGTACACCCTGAGGATTCAACACTTCTCATTTTATTTCCATGAATGTGGCCAATAAGGTTGAGTTCTTGTGAACAGATGCACTGGTTTGGTAACTTAGTCCTATGCTGGTGTTAAGGTCGACTCCAGTATATATGTTTGCATTTAAACCTGTCAGACCCTAGTCTGGGTCTGACAGGTTTAAAAGAGCATGTATATTTTAAAAGGACATTATCAAGATATCCAATATATATTAGGGCTGTCGATTAATCGCAGTTAACTCACGTGATTAACTAAAAAAATTAATCGTGATTAAAAAACTTAATCGCGATTAATCGCAGTTTTAATTGCACTGTTAATAGAATACCAATTGAAATTTATTAAATATTATGGATGTTTCTTCTACATTTTCATATATATTGTATTCTGTGTTGTAACTGAAATCAAAGTGTATATTATTTTTTACTATAAATATTTGCACTGTAAAAATTATAAACAAAAGAAATAGCATTTTACAATTCACCTCATACAAGTACTGTAGTGCAATCTCATTGTCGTGAAATGTCGAATTACAAATGTTGAATTTTTTTTGTTACATAACTGCACTCAAAAACAAAACAATGTAAAACTTCAGAGCCTACAAGTCCACTCAGTCCTACTTCTTGTTCAGCCAATCGCTAAGACAAACAAGTTTGTTTACATTTACAGGAGATAATGCTGCCCTCTTCTTATTTACAATGTCACCAGAAAGTGAGAAGAGGCATTTGCATGGCACTTTTGTAGCCGGCATTGCAAGGTATTTACATACCAGATATGCTAAACATTCATATGCCCCTTCATGCTTCGGCCACCATTCCAGAGGACATGCTTCCATGTTGGTGATGCTCATTAAAAAAAAATGCGTTAAATTTGTGATTGAACTCCTTGGGGGAGAATTGTATGTCCCCTGCTCTGTTTTACTCACATCCTGCCACATATTTCATGTAATAGCAGTCTCGGATGATGACTCAGCACATGTTGTTCATTTTAAGAGCACTTTCACTGCAGATTTGACAAAATACCAAAAGGTACCAATGTGAGATTTCTAAAGATAGCTACAGCACTCGACCCCAGGTTTAAGAATCTGAAGTGCCTTCCAAAATCTGAGAGGCACGAGGTGTGGGGTATGCTTTCAGAAGTCTTAAAAGAGCAACACTCTGATGCAGAAACTACAGAACGCAAACCACCAAAAAAGAAAGCTGCTTTGGATTGTTATTGAGCAGAACCAGTCATCAGCATGGATGCGTGTCCCCTGGAATGGTGGTTGAAGAATGAAGGGACATATGAATCTTTAGCGCATCTGGCACATAAATATCTTGCGATGCCAGCTACATCAGTGTCATGAGAACGCCTGTTCTCACTTTCAGGTACATTGTAAACAAGAAGCATGCAGCATTATCTCCTGCAAATACACCTTTACCCCGATATAACGCTGTCCTTGGGAGCCAAAAAATCTCACCCTGTTATAGGTGAAACCGCGTTATATCCAGGGCTGGTGCAAGGATATTTTGCATCCTAGGTGAAACTTCCATCTTGCGCCCCCCCCCCATAACATTGGTTCATTGAGGGGCAAATCCCAACGAGCCATTATAGACCCCAGGGGCCAGCCGTGCCCAGGGGCTGCTCCCCAGACAAGGTTCCCCCCTCCCCGCCCCCTGAACTCCCCTGGAGGGTGCACAGCCCCCCCGTGAGCCCTCCCCACCCCACCCCGGCGGCCCCCACCCCGAGTCCACTCACTGGCTTTGCCGGGCTTGGGCCGCTGCAGCAGCTCAGCAGGGAGGAGCTGCCTTCTGGGGGGTCCTGCAGCAGATGCATGTGGGCAGAGGCCCCCATGCGCCCACCTGGCTCCCCCCTCACTGCGCTCGGGCTCCGCGGCTCCCAGGAGTGTGAGCCGCCACCGCCACTGCTGCCCCTCCCAGAGCAGGCTCAGGGCCCCGCGCCCTGGCGGCAGCTCACATGCCCGGGAGCCGCAGAGCCCGAGCGTGGCGAGGGGGGAGCTGGGGGGCCTCTGCCCGCATGCATCTGCTGCAGCCTGCAGGAGCCCCCCGGGGGGGCACCAGGCCGCAGCCTGGACAGGGTTCTTGGCCCCCTGTGCTGCGCTGGCTCTTCCATGGCTGGGGCTCGCTGCCACCGCAAGCCGATGCTCTGGCTCCCCGGTACCTCCGGAAAGTGGCTCCTCCCTGGTGAGCCAGGGCACCGCTTTTTGGCGCCCCCAGGGCCGTCCTTAGGATTTATGGGGCCCTATGCAGTATTATTAAACTGGTGTTCCTATGCCCGGCGGCAGCCTGAACTTGCAGCCTGGCGGGGGCAGCGGTGGAGGGACAAGGCAGAAAGAACAACAAGACGCCCAGCCCGCCTCACGGTGGCGGAGAGTCACCATTCCCCGTAGAGACCCCTGTACCCTCTCCCTCATGCAGAATGGACATGCAGAAGGTACCTAATTAAAAGCACTAAACTTGGGAATAAAAAATGTCAGTCACAGGTTTTTTAATATGCTCTGAAGTTTGTCAGACATTTATTTGCAAAAACTTTGTAGTAAGAGCGAGTCAGCTGTCTTGCTGAATACAACATTAAATATTATGGAATACATGATGCACCTCTTCTCTCTTTTACATTTTCTTAATCAGTATTTCTAAGCTGATTTTATATTTTAAATGTACTCTTAAGCCTTCATAAAGTAATCATTCCAGATTACTACATATTTAACTCACTGAAATAGACATTATTTTAAATTAATCAGTCACAGTGGTTTAGTGTGTTCATAATAATGTTCATTGCTTTTAGAAAAAGGGAACACTAATTTACTGTGTGTGATCTCCATAACAATACACGTTTATGAAATTTCACCAACTTTAAAAAAATATGTTTCCAAAGATTTTAGGCATAACAAAGGATTTTATATCTTACTAAGGTACTGATTTTGCTTAAAACTAGTTAATCAGATAGTCAGAAGTAAAGAAAGGGAAACTCTTTGTCCAGCTATCTGGAAGCAAAGGGCTGTTGCTTCCTTGGGGCGGGGAGGGGGGTGCGGGGGATGAAGGGAGAAATGGATGGACAGAAAGGACAAGAAGACTTTGGAAGTAAGTTTTTTTTAACTATAGTAATTAAAATGTGTATTTTAGATAAGGGTGGTCTTTTGAAGAATTTATTTAAAAAACCATATGTCTGAAGATCCAAGCATTTAAGGCTAAAAATGATTGTGCATCTAAAAATCTATGCAAGGATTTTTTAGAGATGTGTTTTTAGAATCTTCACCAACTCACTAATGAAATATTTTTAAAGCAAATTTTAAACTAAGGTCCTGACATGTTCTGAGTAAATATTACAGTAATGCACAACTGTTTTTGTCAGTACATTCAGAAACTGACAGTAGATACCTGGGGGTTGGCAAATGCCTGTTAAATGTCTTCATTACCCCTTGAATGGCTCTTTAACAGTTTCACTGTTGTGCTAATAGGTCTGGCAGGCTGGAGACTTTTTCTCTTTTAACTACCAGATCCCCTTCCCAGGAAGACTCAGAGCCTGCAGGAAGTGTCAGAACAGGGATAGGAAAACCAATAGGGTGGATACTAAGACCCAGTGGAGCCCCAAATTTTCAGGTGCCGCTCCCAACCACTTGCCGTCCTAGGCGACTGCCTAGTTCGCCTAGGGGTTGCACAGGCCCTGGTTATATCGAACTTGCTTTGATCCACCGAAGCGCACAGCCCTGCCCCCCTGGAGCGCTGCTTTACTGCATTATATCCGAATTCGTGTTATATCGGGTCGCGTTATATCGGGGTAGAGGTGTATAAACAAACGTGTTTGTCTGAGTGATTGGCTGAACAAGAAGTAGAAACTGAGTGAACTTGCAGGCTGTAAAATTTTACATTGTTTTATTTTTGAATGCAGTTATTTTTTTGTACATAATTCTACATTTGTAAGTTTAACTTTCAAGATAAAGAGATTGCACTACAGTACTTGTATTTGGTGAATTGAAAAATACTATTTCTTTTGTTTTTTTACCATGCAAATATTTGTAATAAAAAATAAATATAAAGTGAGCACTGTACACTTTGTATTCTGTGTTGTAATTGAAATCAATATATTTGAAAATGTAGAAAACATCCAAAAATATTTAAATAACTGGCATTATATTATTGCTTAACAGTGTGATTAATCGCGCAATTAGTTTTTTTAATCCCGTGATTAATCACGATTAATTTTTTTTAATCGCTTGACAGCCCAAATATCTATATATATATTTTTTAAAAATATGTTTCTCTCTGTTTTAATAATCATCCCTTGGAAACAAGACAATGAAATTGGGTTCATTACCAGTATCAATTCCCCCACTTTTTCTAATGAGATACTTCTACCACAGCCATCACCAGCTTTAACAGTCTAAAATGAACACACCAAGAACCTCTGAATCTCTCTGTCCCCTCTAAGGGAGGCTTTTATTTTTGTTATATTTGTTTATGGCAACCCCTGACATGAAAACTCATTTTTGAATTATTATAGGATTGCTCATAAGTACTGGGCCGTTGGCAGTTATTCTTTCCTTAAAAAGAAATGACACTGAAGCATTTGTTTTGGAAAAAAAATACTAAGAATGTCTTGGACTGCACAAACATAAAAGAGGAACAAAAGACAGATCCAAATGTTGCCCCCACGAATCATGACAGTGTCCATCACACTGTGGATAACAAGAAATTTGTTAAATAAAAATAATGTATCTAATACTTACCAAAATAAGACCTGAGATTAATGAAGAAGTGCCTGTCAAGGCAACATAGAACTTGGGGGTTAATGTGTTCAAAAACATACTCACTGAAAGAGAAAGAGAGGAAATCATGAGTACAACAGCAGGAATGGTTCTCCCTTTTGGCTTCCCCACCAACTCCACCCCCACTTTGAATAAATTACGGTACTTGCTCACCTTAAAAATAAAATCATATAAAGCACATCTCTATTAGTTTGCCCACACATGATAAGATGCAGCCCAGTGTTCTACATACAGGAGCTCATTTTCACAACAGAGTTCATCACAAGGAGTTACAAATCACTTGCATACTCACTTGGCTTTTTCCACTCCCCACTGCACAATGCCATCACTGCATTTTAAAGCTCTTGAAAAGCTAAATGCCAACAGAGTAGTTAAGGCAGACAATACAGTATCTTTCATCCGCCCCAACCTATCATGGGGAATCATGAATCAATCTGAACCTGGGCTCAACTCCCTGCTCCGCTTCAGACTTGTGACCATGGACAAACCACATGGGGACAGATGTTTAAAGGTAGCTAGGCACCTAAAGATGCAGGTAGGTGCCAAATGGGACTTTCAGAAGCATGTAGGTGGCTAACTCCAATTTTTTGAAAATTCTACCAAGCACCTATCCGCATATTTAGGCATCTAAATATCTTTAAAAAGCTGGCCCTTAGTCTCTCCGTCCCTCAGCACCTCATCTGTAAAATGGTGATGACAACACTTCCCTTCCTCACAGGGGTGCTGGGAGGGAAAAATACATCAAAGATTGTGAGTTGCTCAGATACTACAGTGATGGCAGATGGATTGACTAGGAAAAAAACCCCACTAGCTTTACCAGTCTAGTTCATTCTGGAATCACCGGGGACCCTGCTGAGGACTAGCACAGCCCCCAAAACCAGGCATGCTGGTTGGGGAGGAGTCATGGCCATGGTAGCCACGGAAGAATTAATTCAGCCCTGATAGGCTAACTGGCCTTCTATGAAGCCCTCCAACAGCACTGTCAGTAGAATCACCAGCTGCTCCCCCTCAGTCCCTTATGGAGAATTCCTATAGAATTTGAGAGAAAATAATCAACTTTCTGTAGTTTTTTGTTGGACCATCCTACAGAATTTAATATAGAATTATAGCTCTGCTTTAGAATTGGATAAGATGGTTACCAACAAACCAGCCCAACTCTCTAGCAATGAAATCATTCCCTATTCAATTATAGAGAGCTCTGGAATAGCTTGTATGGAATCCTGTTGGTTTGATCCCTATTAATTTCTTTCAGATTTTACATACAAATCCTTCCAATCCCAGAGTGTTGTGGTCCTCACCGGAGGACACTGCACCTCTCTGCACCACCCAAAGTGATCCAGCCCATGACCTACACAGGGTCAAACTTGATGGGGGGTCAGAGATATTGCCCAGGCCATGCCCAGCACTGTACACTCTATTGTTTTGTTTTCTGAACACACCTAACAGACTTGTATTTAACTATAAAACAGCCATTTAAAACTCTGATTGAAGGCATGGGGAGGCCGGTGGGTTCACTCAAGTTCTTTTCTGTGTCTTTAAGAATGATCCTTATTGAAGCTAAACAAACTTAAACTGAAATATGGAGAGGAGATAATGAAGGTATGCTATTAATCCTCACTGGCACGTGGTTAATTTTCAATATTCAGTAAGAAATAGGATTGTCTTCCAGAAAAGAATCACATAGAACTTGAAATTGCCATGCAGCAGCTTTGTGTTGTTTCTGCATGCATCTTTTCTCATATTTTTCCTGAAGGAACTAGAAATTGTTAAAGAGTGTGTATGTGTGATTTTTCATTCTACTGAATTTACATTAGCACCAAACTGGCAGGGTGGAGTCAAGAACCAGACCCCGTCCTTTTTAGTTCTGTGTTAGTTTTACCCCTCAAACAAACTGGAAGCAATAGTGAGCCAAAACTTAGCTGGTATAAATTCACCTACTTTCACTGATTTCATTGTCTTCAATGGGAGCTATCCTTATTTACACCAGTTGAGGAACAGGTGCAATATTCAGGATTTCCATCGCACCTTATTTCTTTTCAAATACAAACTACCTGAAACATTAGTGCCTGCTACATCCAGCCCCAAGCTATGCTGAGAAGGAAGAGAAATGCAAAGACTGTAATAGCTTTGCTCTTTTCAAACCACCCACACATCCTTTTGAAGAAAATATTCCTCATTCTGGAGTGCAAATGTAAGCTTGAGACATAATCAAACTGGAACCCTGATGGTGTCACTGATAAAATTATAGTCTGCCAACTAAATCTACTGCCCTTCTTAGGCTAATATATTCCTGAAAAAAATCATCTGCTGGGATATTGTTGTACATGTGTGCCGGTTATTACTTTGCTACAATGCCAATGATGACTTCAGTGGGTCAACAGCAGTAGACTTTATTGAGGTGCTTCCCCTTCAGTTCCCGTGCGCAGGAGTAACCTAATGGGGCATGGAACGTTAGAGTTTGTCATATTAAATCAGAAACATCGCCCAAGTGGGATTTGATTTCCCAATGTTTTAATGACAGAGATTGAGTGATTTGCCAAAATACTAAAGTTATGGTGGCTTCCAGCTTTAGAAACTGGGACATTGATATTGGCCCATTTGGAGTCTTGGTGGAATATTGATTCTGTCCATATCACTTAAAGCAGCATTTTCTGTTGAGTTGTGAGAGGGCACTGTTGCAAAAAGAGAATTTTCTGTCTTGAGAGCCGATGAGTTAAGCACAGTCACTCAGATCTTATCATTATCAACCACACTGAATGAACGCTACATCAGGGAAAATTTGTCCACGTAGAGGACTGTGCAAGCTCCTCTGTCCACTTAACCTCTGGATTGCCTCTCCATGGATTAGGGCAGAGGAGCAGCTCCTGCTCAGGGGAAGCACCATACCCATGGTGCTTTGGGAAGTGGGCTCTGTAGAGATATGTTTGTAGAAGATTATGATTTAGAGTCGCTCCCTCACAAGGGACAATATTATGAACATAGGTAATTGGAGATGTGCCCTGGAGGATGGGTTAGGAACACCACATGGCTGTGTGCAGCAGTTCACCAAAGATGCTGTCCAGTTTGTTTTATTAAAGTTTCATTCCTTTCTCATTCAGTGGTGTGTTATTTAATGAACTCCAAGACCGTTACCGGCTCCTTGACACAGACTCCAAATAGGCCCTCTGTCAAGGGGACTGTTGTTGGCATGGTGCTTGTCAGAAGCTGGGAGAAGGGATATTGGATCCACATTTATACAAAGCATGTAGCCCCAAGTCCCTGCACAGGGGGACAAAGAAAAGGGACATCTACCCTAAGCCCTGCAGAGTTGCTCAAACTTCGTGCAAGTGAGGATAGAATTTCACCCTTTGAATATGCCCAATTCCTCCATAGGGCATCTGGAAAGTACGCCACTGCCTTCATCACAAACAGTCTATACTGATTCATATTTTAATAATCAGAAGTGAGCAGAAATCGCTCTCTGTGGAGGGGATTTTTAGTGATACAATCTTTGTGCCAATGCTCCTGGTTTCTCCTTCTTTGCGTGTTCTCGCTCTCTTACTGCTGGATGCCACTGTGTTAACTTTTACTGCTTCTTGCTAAAACAGCTCCCTCCTCTTAGGCCTTGTCTACACTGGCAAGTTTCTGCGCAGTAAAGCAGCTTTCTGCGTTGTAACTCCCGAGGTGTACACACTGCCAAGCCCTTAGTGCGCAGAAACTGCCCAGTTGCAGTGCTGTAAAAATACCACCCCAACGAGAGGCGCACAGCTTTCTGAGCCGGGGCTACAGCACAGTGTAGACACCCTGGTCGATTACAGTGCTGCGATTGGCCTTCGGGAGGTGTCCCACAATGCCTATTCTTGGCTCTCTGGTCATCAGTTTGAACTCTACTGCCCTGCCCTCAGGTGACCAACCATGAGCCCCACCCCTTAAATTCCTTGGGAATTTTGAAAGTTCCATTCCTCTTTGCTCGGTGACGTGGGCAGTGGTCTCAGCACATCTTTCCAGGTAATCATGCCTGCTCCACACACCAGGTGATCCCCCGCTTGGAGCAATGCTGAGCTGCTGCACCTCATCAGCATTTGGGAGAGGAGGCAGTTCAGTCACAGCTGCGCTCCAGCTGTAGGAATTATGATACCTATGGACAGATTTCATGATGCATGACAGAAAGGGGCCATGACTGGGACACACTTCAGTGCAGCATCAAAGTGAAGGAGCTGCGGAAGGCCTACCACAAGGCGCGGGAGGCAAACCGCCACTCCGGTGCTGTGCCCTTGAGCTGCCGGTTTTACAAAGAGCTGGACGCGATACTCGGTGGCAACCCCACCTCCACTGCAAAGGCCACTGTGGATACTTCGGTGGCTCACGTGCCAGTCGAGGGTGGACCAAGCCTGGAGGAGGAAATCTTGGATGAGCATGTGGCGGGGGAGGGGGACCCAGAGGCAGAGGATGACTCGGAGGTCAGAGATGCATGCAGCCAGGAGCTCTTCTCTACCCTGGAAGGAGGCTAGCCGGTCGCAGCTGTCAGAGCTTGGCGAAGCGCAAACAGGAGAGGAGACCCCTGATAAGTGGCTTTGATTTTGGGAATCGCTGGAGCGAGTTGTAGGAGGCAGGAGGGTTGCAGAAAGTAGGCTTGTGTCTGTATGATACCGCCACACGCCTAGTCTGAGCAGCGGAACAGGGTGTTGATTGACTCCCTCACTTCACGGGAATCTGCCTCAGAGATCTCCACAAAATTCTCATGGAGACACTGGGCAATCTGCTGCGGCAGATTCTTTGGCAGAGCTGCTTTGTTTCTTGCCCTATTAAGGGTAACTTTCCCGTTCCACTCTGCTGTCACTGGGGGGGGGGGGGGGGGCCCATTCCTGTACACAGGCGAGCCACATAAGGGCCAGGGCAGAAGCTGCAGTCTAGGAGAAGACTCTCCCTTGATTCCCTGCTCACCCTCAGCAGTGAGATATCTTCCATAATGAACAGCCTGTGGAAAATGTGGGGACAGTAATGATTATAAGGCCTCTCTACCGTGCTGGCTCTCCCCAAGAGCCACGTCCCCTGTGTATAGTAC